GTTTTTCCTTTAATTGTTTAGTACTAAAGTACTTAGTCAAACTCATCGTTTGTGTGAAAGTATCACAAAATAAAGTAAACAAGAAAATGTACTACTGTAAGTGTTGTCACTGGGTACTAGGACCAACACAACGTCGCGTTAAGTGAAAAATGCAACCTAATGAACATCCGAAGATTGTCCAAAAAAGTAATAATGTAAGTGTCATCGCTGGCTACTAGGAGTAACACAACATCGCAATAAGCGAAAAGTATAACCTTATGAACAATCAAAGATTGTCCACTTGTCCTGTGTAGCAGCAGCAGGTGGGTGGAGGGGTTAGCCCCGGTTATCGATCTTCCTAGTATAAGTAGTAACCTTAGACCTCCATAGATGGTCATCGACCACTGGTGCTAATCAGTGGGGTTCGTAATGGTAAGTCCCGCCTAGATATCCCATTAAACCGGGATAGGAAAGATAATTTACACAGAAAGTACTAATAAATTATCCTCGTAGTTCTAAGTACAAGTATCCAAGTAAGTGAATACAGGATAATGCACCTATGTAAAAGTGATTCTTGTATGGTATTCACGTAAGTGTGTTCATGTAACAGGTAAGTATATGTATATGTACTCATGTATCAGGTAATGTACTAGTATGGACTCATGAATGCACTGACTCTTGTGTGACTCCTTATAATAGGAGTAATGTTTGATATCCGCAAATTATCCCTAGGATAATTTACTGAACTATAATTGGTTAATCATGTAGGTTTATACACTCTTACTACTCAAGGGTGTGGGAAACAAAATGAAAGATGTAAACTATAACATCAATACATATATAAGAATATAAGTGTATATGCATAGTTTAGTTCAAGAATGTAAAATGGTTTTGTAAGACATCTTATGGGTTTTGAACAATAATTAACAATGACTTGATGTCATTTTTAATATACATTTCAAAGGTAAAACATTTGATAATAATGTGTTTTTAAGATTTAAAACCATTTCATGCATCACATTTTGTAGTATGTGAAATCTGTTAAATGACAAACACAGTTATAAAATACATAACAATGATTTAATAACATGTTTGTTTCTACTTGTATTCCCCCCCCCCCTTTTAAAGCATTTAAAATCATTTAAAACATTGATTAGGGGTATGAACTCACCTGTAGTTGGTGATTGGGATGAACTGAACGGTATAGGATTGCTAGGTGTCAAGCGAGGACTTGTACACACACTACGATCCTAATGAACATATAATCACACATATATGCACTCAATTAGTCTCAAATCACTAATTGATAATGTTAAGACATCCTAGACATAATAAACACTTTATATAAGTGTTTTAGGCCCTAAGGATTGCGTCTAAGCTAATGTGGGACAAGGCACTTTTGTTTAGGTTTCCAAAAGACCCCCATATATGAGTTTACTCCTCATATACTAACACACATGGAGTTTACGGTTGTAAACTCTTGAGTTTACGGCCGTAAACTCCCAACCATGGGTGTTTTGTGTGTTTTGAAGTTCCAAATGATTCCTAGAATTATTCCAACTTGGTGGTTCAATTCTTGAAAGGGTTTAAGGTCTAGAAACACTCCATTTAGGAGTTTACGGTCCTAAGGCCATTTCCTTTGGAGTTTACGGCCGTAAACTCCCTTGGAATGGTGTTCTTGTTGTTTTCAAGTCTCAAGCATAGGTGGTATAAGTTCTAGGCTTTTATTCCAAGCATATGAAGACATTAGGCACACTTTGGTGCCATTCTTTCATGTTTAAGGCCCAAGAACAAAGTCTTGGCCGTAAACTCACTTTGATAAGTGATTTTGATGTGCTTAAGGCCTTAGATTAAATGGGAACAAGTCTTGATAAAAGTCTTAAAGCTTTAGGTGCCTTAAAACACTATTTTGGGTTTGAAAAGGGAGTTTACGGCCTAAGAAACTCTTGGGCCGTGAACTCCCAAACTTGGGTGATTCTTGGTTGTTTTCTTGTCCCTAACACACATACATATGAGTCTAAGGCAGTTGCATAACACAAGGGTCGGTCTCGGCTTTGTTTCAGGAGTTTACCGCCCAAGAACACCTTGGGGAGTAAACTCCTAGATCTAATGATTTAGGTAGTGTTTGTTTTTTGTTTGCAGATCTGCGAGACCTCTTCTGTCTGCGCCGTGCAGACCACGCGCAGACATTAGTCTTCGCAGACTGTTTGTTTTTTTTGAAGACTGCAGACCTAAAAATGTCTGCGCGCCCTCTTCTTGGCGCAGATGTGGACCAGAGTCTTCTAACATCTTCAGACATCTTCTAGCCTAAAAAAACATATATATCTTTATTTTTTTAAGTTTTTTTTCAATTTATATTTTTTCCAACTTTATTAATGATAAACAATTTCAAAAAAAAAATTACAAAACTTAAAAAAAACATTTGACGATACAAACATGATATTTTTAACAAATTTATAAATAAAAATTTATTATAATAATAGTCGTTGAAGTTGTTTATATAAATATGAACAAAAAATCATAATATATTCTTATATTTTTTTGCCAAAATTTTGTAAAACTTTATTTAATAGAGTATCATCAGTTTCTCGAGAAAATATTTATCGTACGTTTTTAATAGATTTTAATTGAAAAAATCGAAGTTTATTTCCATCTATTTATGTATCAAATTCTTTGATCACTAATTATAATGTTTAATTATAATTTTACAATCAAAGTTGTTCGTTTTAATCAAATATGTATGTGAATTAATACCATTTAATACATAAAAGTTGATCTAGATTCGTTATATATTTATAATAAAGTCGTAAAAATATATAAAAAAATCGCTTTGAAGTTTTAAAAAATCAGTTTATTTAGATTTCAGTTTATTTTAATAGCCCGCAGATGTTAAAAAAACAAACAGTCTTCTTTTTTCAGACTGCAGACGTTTGGTCCACCTCTTCTACTGCAGAGGTCTACAGATGTGGTCCGCAGACTGCAGACATTTTGTCCCAGAAAAAACAAACAGCACCTTAGCCATCTAAATCATGTTATAAGCACATAATAAGCTTTCTAACACTACTAGAAAGAGTTACTCACGTTTTGGGATAAAAACCCGAAGATCCGAGAGAGAGAAAATGACTTTTCTCTAGTTGGAAATGTGAATAATGAATGAATTTGGTTCATAATTCTATTTATAGTCCTGAGATATTTTTGGCAGAAAATATTTTTATTCCTGAAATGATCTCTAATAAAATAGAGTGTTGGAATAATAGTGTTGCACAAAACCCTAGTGCACCCACTCTCCTGATATTTCCTGAAGTGTAAACCCTGAATTACTCAAACTTACGCGAAAAAGTCTGAAAATTAACTGTGACTGCTATAACTTCTATTGAAGTGATATAGTTTGTACAAAATGGAAATTTCGGGTTGTCACATATTTTGATATTTGGACAAACAAAATAACCATTCCATCCTTGTTTGGTTAGTTTCATAGTCACCATCCTTTCCATCACATATATACGAATGTCCTCTAACATGCTTATTATTGGTTTCTTCCGGGCATCCAAAATCACACTATTAAAACTCTCTGAAAAACCATTCTCTACTGACTCACAAGAATTATGAACTCTGAAAAAAGCCAAAGACCAAGTCTTTGGATTTCTAGCCATAAGATGCACAACTGCTTTCGGATTTAATTTTCCAATCTCTTTCATAACTACATTAAACTGTGCTTCAGTTGTTGCCTTGCTCGCTTTCCAAAACAGATTTTCAAACTTGGATCCACTAAATGTCTTTCTAAAATTCGCATAGATATGTCTAGCACACTGCCTATGTTCAGCTGCTGGAAATACCTCCTTTACTGCCTCAATCAAACCCTACATAAGTCACATTAATGATTGAAATTCGAATAGCAATAACTAAATTTAGAACATGCAATAGTTTTGAACCATACCTTGTGTTCATCCGAAATTAGAACCAAAGCGTTACCATCATTCCAACATTGCAAATCTTCTGAAAGAGTTTCTAAGAACCATTTCCAATTCTCTTTGTTTTCCATAGAAACAACTGCCCAAGCAATTGGGAATATTCCATTGTTAGCATCTCTACCCACAGCACAAAGCAACTCCCCTTGACAAAAAGTTTTCAGAAAACAACCATCCAGGTTAATGATCCTCCTACATCCTCCCCTCCATCCCTCTTTTACTGAAGCAAAACATATGTATATTTTGCTGAAATAATTCTTACCATTAGGCATTGAATCAACACAAATTTTAACTGTGGATCCAGGATTTGATCTTCTAATCTCCTCACCATATGACCATAATCTTGCATAATTCTCAGCTATTGTCCCTTCAACTGGACTCAATGCATACTTCTTGGCTCTCCTACACTAACTCATACTCACGTTAATGCCAAAATCTGTTTTTACCTCCTCTCTAAGCATTCGGACGCTCATCTTTTGATTGTTATAAAATTGGTGCTTAAAGTGGGTCCCTATCCATTTGTAAGTCACAATTGATCCGAATTTGAAATTCTTTGCACAATTATGCTCACCGATCAGAGATTTTATCTGGAAAGACTTATCTTCACTCATCCAAGAACCCCAAAGCCTAAAAGTACATTTGCCATCACAGCATTTGACAAGTAATCGTCTAGTATCATTCTTAACAAAACATAATTGATAACCATTCGCGACAACATAGTTACAAAGCATGTATTTCAATTGCTTAGGACTCTCAAACCTCATACCTAAAACAAGTTCGTGCTCCTTCCAATTGAGTTTATCATTGAAAATGTTTGGCAATTCGGGATAAACATCTTCATTGTCACCCATGTCTTCTTCGAAAAACTCACTTGCACCTGCTTTCTCACCCATCTCTACCTGAATCTCATTACCCTTTATAAAAATGAGGCTTCTGGTGGTCATCCTCATCGCTATCGACATCCTCATCCTCGTCGTCATCATCGTCGCCATTCTCTACCTCATCGTTTGTGTCACCCACATCCCGATACCCTGGTGCAACTTCCTTAACCAGTCATGCACCATCAAGTACTTCTTCCTCAACGTTACCAACAAACTCGTCTTTGTGTTCATCCAACCATTCCTGTATGTTACTAGCCCCAAAATGGTCTACATACATAGGGAGTATAACACCACATTGATATGCAATTTCAATGAAGTCGTAATAATCGGGGTCATTGCAAATTAGAGTCAAACCTTTTGGAAAATCAATATCAGGTTGGCAGTAATAGAGCTTCTCACACTTTTCCCCAGTGAACCTTTCGATGAACGCAGCACACCCATCCTTGTCCATTCCTGCAAAATCCATATCCGAAAACCTCTGAGTAATTCCACCGCTGTAGTGTATGGGGTTTCTGGCGAACATTCCTTGGAAGTGGACATCTACTTGTAAGAATATGGGTTTCATGCTTGAGGATTCAAAAGCAGCTCACAAAAAAGGGTTTACCGATGAAGTGTTGAACAGTGGATGTAAAAGGGCTCTTTTATAAAGCATATACCGACATTACGAAGGAGGCAACTAATTAATGACATGACATTAGACGAAAGTCACAGTCAGCATCCGATGTGGTGTTAATAGAATGAGGTGGACTTAAAATGACCGGCTAACCCCTATAAAATTGAAATAAGGACTTAATCGACCCGACAAAGAGTAATTTGTTCACTTATTAAGCCACAAAATAAATTAAGTAGCTAAATGGGTCAACCCTAGAAACATTATAGGACTTATACATCATTTTCCCTTATCTTTACGAATTTTTAAGCCTTTCTTTAAAAATAATAACAATTAAAATTTTTCTAAATTTATAATTGAGATTTTCTAATATGTGCCCTAATGGCACATATAAGAAGTATTAATTAATCATAATTATTATTATAATTAAATGTGAAATGCATTAATTATAGAGATCATTAATGAATTTTATATTTAATTATGGTAATATTTCTTATAATTAATATGTTTAACATTTAATTATAATAATAATTACGATTAATTAATACTTATATATACTCTTAAGGCACATATTAGAAAATCCATTTATAATTTACAGATGTTATAATATTTTAGATTATATCTAATTATACCACAAGTTATATGTGAGGTATATTTGTAAACAATGTTTTCGGAGCAGCGTGCGCGGGGTTACAACCATCGGCTTAAATTCATTAGCATCTGCCGACGTGGCAAACGTATACCGTTCCCAGCTTGGCAACCACTTGGGCACTTGGTGTTAGATGCCCTCAGTTGATATTGCAGGGAAGAATGTCCAGTAATCACAAACCCTAACATGGCGGCCTTTTCTTCTCCTTCTTGCTTCCCGCCATTATCTTGCACTGATAATCACAAGCCGTTAGGATTTCCAATTTCATATCACCAACGCCGTCGTCGTCATCATCACACCAAGACATCAATTCGACTACCCCCAAGTACACCATTAGGTTTAATCAAATTCAGATGCTTCTCCTCTCAGGAGCAGCAGCAATCTTCCGAACAAAAACCAAAACTCGAAGAAGACGATGTAGAATTTGAATTCCAGAGGCTCTTCTCTAACCTTAATCGAGCTACTCTCAAAAGGGAACCTGGTATTTAATCTAATTTACATTTTTAACGAATCGCCTCTTATGAATTTCTAAACCAATTAAATGTTACGACCAATGTTTTCATACCGACTTACAGATTCTTATCCACTGCTCTCCAGGAAGTGTCACTAGTTCGATTCTTCTGGTTGCTGGCACCACTGTAACCCCTCTCTTTCTACTTAAACATGTAGCAGTTAATACTTAATAGTTATACACACATGAATAGGTGCTCAAATTACTCCTTTTGATCGACGATCATAATAGACAAAATGAATGTATGTGTGCCTTTCTGTTACGTCAAAAGGCAAGTCAGCCAGAGATATTTCATGATCCATTAACCTGCGTGAATAAAGATTCATTCCTCATAAATATGGATATATAACCACACACACACACAATAAATTGAGTTTTGTAGGGAATCCAAACATATCCTCTATCCTCTATGTATTCCTACACTTTTGAAATTTGCAGATATTTTCAATTCTACAACTAGTTTTAGATCACATAATTGACCTTTCTTTTCACCATATTATTTTCTTTCTAATCACCCAATTGCAGTTTCTTAAGTACTTAACTAAATTGTCTGAACAGGTAGGTGCTGGAATTCTTGCTATTCCTGCAGTGACTCAGGAAGCTGGGTTTTTGGCAGCTGGGATCACTTGCATTCTTTGTTGGATTTATATGGTACTTCCTGTTTTTTGTAATTGATTTGTAGATATATTTCTTTTCTCCCTAGTCTTGTTGCTTTTTCTTGTCAAAGTACATTGTTTAACAATATAGTATTTTGTACATGTAATAGGTATAGGGGTTAAATACACATTTATGTAACAACACTTCACCTTCTTCACACCAATTTATGCAACAAGTGAGTTTATCCTAATATATACAATGTCATTCCATTATACGACCAAAAGATGCAATATGTTACCAGTAACCTGTTTAACCAGTCGAAATATGGCTGCATAGTTCATGTCATTTTCATAAATTGGTAAAAGATTGAAACATTTTTGCATATAGATTGGTTAAAAAAATGAAACAATGCTGCATAAAATAAGTATTATACACTGATACAGAATTTCTCTCATGCAGGTTGTAACTGGGCTGCTAATAGCTGAAGTAAATGTAAAGACAATGTGTGAACTGGGCTCTGGTGGTGTATCATTGGTAATTTCAATAATTATTTATTAAAAGTTAAAATTTTAATCCATTCCTCAATAGAATGAAACATAACTTGTACTCTATGGTCTCTCTAATTTGACTGTACCTTAACGAGTTTGAGGTTACTGTGTAAAATATTTGAGAAAATGACTTTAGATTTGGGGAAATGGAAGGAAAAATGTATAAAGAGGAGAAATTTGCCCTGACTTTCTCTATTAAGTCACTCCATCTGCATTAAGTAAAAGAAAGAACACCCATACATAGCTTACCTGATTAAGTCTTGCTATCAAATTTACACTTGTCATTGTACCATAGGTCACTTGATCACACAAGATATATATATATATATATATATATATATATATATATATATATATATATATATTTAATTTCATAACTATTTGCATACTTATTTTTCAGGTATCAATGGCTACAAGAACACTTGGTACTATTGGAGTTCAGATTACTTGGTAAGATGATCTGAATCTGATTATGTTAATTAGGCTACATAGTTCCAAAATTGAGTTTAGTGATTGCTTATGTTTAATGTGTTATTTATCATTATTGATTATATAGGAGTTAAAACTTAAAAGCAAGAAATAGGATTTGTAATCAGCTTCTTTTTCCTGAACTTTTGTCCTAAAGCCTTTTCATGTTTCTTTTAACAAGTAGACCATTTTTTTTGCAGCTGGTCATATATTTTTATACATTATGCCCTCCTTGTTGCGTATGTGGCTCGTTCATCAGACATCTTGACTAATATCCTTGGCATTCCAGTGTATGATTTAATCTCTCATAAACAATTTTGCATTCATATAATCTTCATGCTTTTGGATGAGATCTTTGATCTGATAACAGCACATGTCTCTTAATTCTCTACTTGATGCATATTAACAGAACACAACAAATTATATCATCATGATTTCCCATTTGTGGGTGATATTAAATTCTTTGAAATCATATAAAGAGGTCATGTATGTTGTTATGATTGCAGATGGGAATGTGCATCTCTGTTTTCAATTCTCTTGGGAAGCATTTGCTACTTTGGAAGGTGGTTATTGCCTTATCTTCATCTCTCTTCTTTCACCATATCTATACAAACAAATCATATTTGATCATTTGTTGTTAACTTTTTCATTTAGCTTTCATATGATAAGGTTAAATGCATAAATAGCAACATGCTTTCATGAAATGGTTATACAAAAGATATTCAAAAAAAAGCTCACCCTTTTTATATTTTGATGTAGCCAGCGAGTTATTGGGGCAGTTAATGGAGTTTTAGTATCTGGCATCATAATTTCCTTTTCAGCTCTAGTGGTAATTTTAATAACTTTTTTGGTAATCGTAAATCCATGGTAATAAGATTTTTCATAATTTGTTGATTGTTGATATATTAGGCAGTTGCAGGTGGAGATTTGCAGTGGGATGCTCTTTTGAAAGCTAATTTGCAAGCTATTCCCACAAGTATACCTATAATAGCACTCTCTTTTGTTTATCAGGTAATAATTTCATTTCTTACTTGACTACATATAATGTTGTTTTCCATCATGTATTTAGTAAACCGTGTTCTTTTCAGAATGTAGTGCCTGTTCTTTGTACAAATCTGGAAGGAGACCTGTCAAAAATAAGGTAATTATTTATATTTTTAATGCTCACATGGTATATGAAGATGATATCTGCCGAACTATAAGATTATTTTAGTAATGGTGTTAACAAAGTCTTTTTTTGCTTTTTCCATTGAAACAAGCGTTAAATCCGTGCTTATGTTTCACCTTTTCTCCAACTATGCAAAAAAAAGAAAGGTTTTTTAGACGACATATGTAGAAAGCCTCATTTCAATGACTTTATACATTAAGTCAGTCGTTGTTTCTGAATTAAGTAAAAAAGAGACACCTAAGTCAGAGATTAAATATTCTGAAATGTTTGGTATTATTAAAAAAAAAAAAAAAACTTGGGTGCAGGAGTTCGATTGTTGTAGGCACTGCGATTCCCCTTGGCCTGTTTCTTGTTTGGAATGGTGTTATTCTTGGAACAATCACAATCACTAATCCTGAAACAGGCATGGATCATAAGCTTGCTGATCCATTGCAACAATTGCTAGCTACTAATGGAGTTGTTGGGGTCAGTAATTACTAATTAATAATAACTACTAAATGCAAGAAATACCAACCTACTTTCATTTATTTCTATTACAGCATTGTATTTTCACATTTTTTATTATATCTTAATGCTCTATTCAGTTATAGCATTGAGAATTGCTTTGTATATGGATGACATTGCTCTTATTGGGGGATATTTTTCAAAGTATGATGCTATGATAAATAAATCAATGAAAGTATGTTGCTATTTCTTGCATTTAACCCTTACTAGATTTATTCCTCACATTTCACCATCCAAATGATACTATGCAGCCGATCGTTGGGGCATTCTCACTTCTTGCCATTGCAACTTCTTATATTGGATTTGTTTTGGGCCTTTCTGACTTCCTATCTGACTGTCAGTTTCTTCTTCATGATAATCTTTGCACCAAAATTACTATTTAATTGTTTTTATTGAAATTACCCGCTTACTTTCTAAAAAACAACGAGATTCTATTATCTTATAACCACTCCGGCATGCTTTTTGTCAAGTTATAGCAATGTGCTTTCATTTATTTGCTTATTATAGCAT